TTTAGTCCCCCCAAATTATATGCCTTTACATAGGGGTTACTGGGGAATACTAACATTAGCAGTTACCCTACTGTTCTTGTGTTACTATTGGATCCCTCTGATCCAGTCTTCACTTAAGGCCACAAATACTACAGCCATTTACCAGGAGAGTACTGGGATTGCATCTCCTTGAGAATCTAAAAGGTGCTAAGGACAACAGAGCAATACATAACTAGCCCAACTAAAGACAACAGCCAAAATCAATTTCAGTCAGGGCTGATTACCAATTTATAATAATGTGTTGTGTGACTGAGATAGTGACAAACCAAAGGGGTAGGAGTGGGGGGGGGGCAGGGGGGAGAAATGCACCCAATAAAATCAACTCACCATGTTTTCTCAGCCTGCAGCAATGCACCACCTCTCTTCCCCTATTTGCTACCCTGTTGCCCAATGTCACGCCCTGCACTCATTAGAATGCTATCTGATTTTTCTTACAAACCAGATTTAGAGCCCATGATTTAACTGCTTCAGTGGTCTATCAAACATGTACCTTTATCTTTACACAAAACTAAGAACAATAGTCAAGCAGCATGTTTTACTATCACCATCTTAAATAGTCCTTAAAACTTCAGTCCAACCAAGATCACATGGGGTGGAAACACAAAATCCCAGGTAACACGCCAAACAATTCTGATTCTGATGTAAATCACCAGTAAACCTCTTTGAAATGTCAACCAGATTATAGGCAACTGACAGTAATTAACAGGTCAGACTCAATTTGCACACCTGAGTATTCACCTTGCTAGTCACTTTTTACCCATGCAAATTTTCACACGCTAGACTCAAACTAAACATAGCCAGTAGCGAAGAAAGGATACAGTGCACCCTTTTCAACCTAATAAATAGGTGGAAAAAAATTTTTATGACTAGTTTGGGGTCATGTATATTAAATTGTACTAATAAGAAAATTGCTCTCAAAGAAATTTACTGAGTTATGTCAAGCATATTGAGCAAAGACCCCTAGTTGGTATTAAGGTTAATCTGACCCCAAACCAAATAAACAATTACTAAACATTCAGGACCAACAAAAATACAGTAGTGGACAGCAATTTCAGTCCTGGTTTTCAAACTACCAATTACCTCAAGTCCCTAAACATACAGTACTTGCAAAGGACAAAGTAACTTCAAAGAACTTTTTCCAATCCGTAAAACAATAAAAGACCAAAGTACAGAATGCAAAGGCCTAGTCACTGGATCCTGGGACTACCTTTCAAAATCACCTCAGAATGAATGGCACCTAGACAGGTGTTTTTCATCCCATTGAGGAAAGAGTAAAATGATTAACAAAATGTGCAACCTTATAATACACAATGAAGGTTATGAAAGGAACAAGAGGAAACCCATAACCCCAAAAAGAGAGGAACTCACCTGGTGGCAGACATCTAGTAAACCAAAGGCATCAAAATCTCAATTAGGACAGCAGACCTAGAAAGCTGGTATGAAAAGTAGATTGGTGGTTCTAACAAGAATCTACAGAACTGATGGAGAACTGAAATCAAAGTTACCTAACACTGTCCATTAGTATGCAGATTAATTCCATAACCCAGCCAACTACTTGTGAATTTTTGACAAATTCTATACAGGTATTGAGCTTTTTACCTGTCCTTTTTTGTTCCCCCAAACCTTCCATCACCAATCACCCCCATGCACAAATGTAAAAGGGCTGCTTTTAAGTGATTGAACACTCATTTTTGAAATGCAACCCAACACTTTAAAAAGGGGCGGGGTGGGGCACAACATCAAGAGGAAGAGAGATAATAGCAACCAAATTTTGAAATCTGCAGTTAAATAAATGCTAAGTATATGAGATAATCTGTTAGTAGTGAGGGTATTATCCTTAAGGAGCAATCTTCAACCAAAGATTTAGGAGTTGGGAACTCAGGAACCTTTAAAAATACAGGAAAGGTAGACTAAGAGGACTGGATGAAAGTGACAAGCAGCTAAACCCCCAAATCCCCTTTGTACTGCTAGCAACCTTAACTCCACATGCTGGAGAAACTGGATTATCTTAAGTGGGTGGAGCCTTTGGGCAAAGTCATACAGTGAGCAAAATAAAAGCATTTAAGTAGTCTATTGTTCAGATCCCTTCCCCCTATTGGGATCCCAGACCATTAACAAAAGAGTTTTTTACCTTTCAGGTACAATGGAAAAGACTTCTCTGGTGAACCTAATCACCTTAAGAGAAAAAAAGATCCAAATGCTCCTCAAAGACACAGCCAGATCACCCAGTAACAAACCCCAGCACTACACAAATACACAATATCCAATCAGCTTTTAATGTTCAACTCATAAAATGAGCCAAGGATCACCAGACAATATGAAAGGCAGAGGGTAAACCAACCAGAAAGTAAAGCATCTTGGAGGAAACAAACTTCTAGTACTAATAACTTCAGGAATGAGTAAACTCATTCCTGAGTAAAAGATAATGGTCTTTAAGTTTGGAGGGTGAAGGTCCTAAAAA